AAAATTTACAGCCAATTTTGAAAAAGATACATTTTAGCTCAGAAAATTGAATATGTCAATGCTGTTGTAATGAAATGCTTCTTCTAAGTATGTGGTTATTAAATAAATAATAAACTGAAAAAAAAGTTGATTATGGCACAACTGGAAAATAATTGAAAAAAAGATGAGCATCTTTCTGGATCATAACTAGATTACAGAGTTATTCATTCATGGAAAGTATACTGAACAATATAGATATTTAGGGCTTTTCTTTGATATATAACCAAGCCATAAATCTGGTTTTAATTTATGTATGTATTCTACTGCCATCTCCAGGAAGCCATGGGAAAGGCCTGGATATTTTATCTTTCCTTAGTATCTACAACTGAAGAGAAATTCCACAATCAAGGTTTTTATAATGTGAAGATTCATTAGTTCCTCTTCCCTTTGATGGATGGCTCTTTGTCTACCCACATGAAAGCTTTTCTCGGTTCCTCTTCTGATTTTTCACAAGCTTCTTAAACCCTCACACACATTCCTCCACAGAGTTCATAGGAAGTGTCTTCTCATCAACACCAAGGAACTTCTAGACTTCCTAATGTCTTACACCTATAAAAAACCTTTTTTCTCTTAACCAACATGAACTTTAACTCAATCTAAAATTTTTACTCATTTTAAAATATAGCACTTAGGATATGTGGTTAACTGTGATAAGAGAGAGCATCTAATCATGCAGTACTTTGCCTGGATTTCATCTTTGTATTATGGTCCAAATTCACCTTTGATCATTCCACTACTTGAAACTGGCTGTTTTAAGTTCCCTTCTGACATGCAGTTCTTAGTAAGATGTGTTCTATTTTATTTTGGTTCCCCCCACTACTTTCTTCTGTCACTGAATTTTTACAATTTTCATATATTTTGATTGTATTTAGATCCCCTCCCCTATTTATACCTCCCCTTACTAGCCCCTGCCCAATTTAATGTGTGTGTGTGTGTGTGTGTAAAATAAGATCTACAGAGTTTGTGTTCTCAAATGTCCTTCAGTGTGGGTCCATGCACTGGAGCCTGCTTACCCTACCAAGAGTCACATCCTTGAAAGAGACTGACTCTTTTCCTCCTAATAGTCATCAGTTGCCAATAGCTTCTCAGGTAGGGTTGGGGTTTCTTACCCATTTCCCATGTCTATGCTTGAATTTTGTTAGGTTTGAGCTTGCATAGGACTTATGCATGCTATTACCACGGCTGTGAGTTCATATGAGTAACTTCCCAGTTATCTGGAAAACTGTTTCCTTGTGGTCATCTACCATTTCTGGCTCTTAAAATCTTTCTGACCCCTCTTCCACAATGATCCCAGAGCCTCAGGAGACAGCTCTGCAGCCTCTTGTTCTCTGCACGTTGGCTAGTTGTGGGTTTCTGTGTTAATCACATCTGCTGCATAAAGAAGCTTCTCTGGTGAGAGTTGAGAGATGCATTAATCCCACCAAATCTGGAGGAGCATGCAGATCCCAGGCAGGGCAGGAAAGGGTCCCCATGATCCAAGAAGCCAGAGTGCTAAGATGGCAGGGTGCCAAGAAGTCTTAGGAATGGGATCTCAGGACTGCAAATCTGGAATGGGGAAGTTGGTTTGGTTTTCTGAGACAAGAACTCACTCTTTAGCCCAGGTTGGCCTCTATAGACCAGGGACAACTCAAACTTATAACAATCCTCCTGCTTCAGGCTCCCAAGTGCTGGAATTATTAAATTATATTTTGTTAAGGAAATAAAATCTCCACAATAGCACAGAACTGAAAGAGTTAAGGTGAAACAAAGCAGAGATGAGGTTCTTGAACATGAGAGGTTAAATAGATTTCTAAGTATCTGAAGGGCTTGTCAAAATTAGCTGGTTCTTATGTAGGAAATATTGATGAGGATGCATGCTATTTTTTAAAAAATTATTATTTTTATTTTATGTGTATGAATGTATTGCCTGCCATGTGTTTAAGCATACCTGTGTCATGCAATGCACACAGAGGCCAGAAGAGGGCATCTGATCTCCTGGAACTGGAGTTATGGACAGTTGTTAGCTGCTGTGGATGCAGGAATTGAACCCAGGTCCTCTAGAAGAACAAGTGTTCTTAACCACTGAGCCATCTCTCCAGCCCCTGAATGTATTCTTTTTTAAATTTTTAAAAATTTATTTTGTGTATATGAATGTTTTGCCTGCCATGCATGTGAGCCATGTTCATGCAATGCCGAAGAGGCCAGAGCATCAGAGTTCCTAAAACTGGAGGGACTAATGGTTTGTTAGCCATCATGTGGATGCTGGGAACCCAGCTTGGATCCTCTGCAAGAGCAGTCAGTGCTCTTAACCACTAAGCCATTTCTCTAGTCCCCTATGAGGATGCATTCTTAAATGGCAATATTCTGAAGTTTTCAAACTAGTACTATTGTTACTGTCCCTCTAAAGTTCTTTATTAAGACTACTAGCTTTGGGGCTGGAGAGATGGCTCAGTGGTTGAGAACACTGACTGTTCTTGTAGAAGGCCTGGGTTCGAATCCCAGCATGCACATGGCAGCTAACAACTGTCTGTAACTCAAGTTCTAGGGGATCTGACAGTCTCGTCTGTCCTCCGTGGGCATTGCATGACACAGGTGTACTTACCTACATGCAGGCAATACATGCATACACATAAAATAAAAATAATAAAACATTAAAAAATAAAAAGACTCCTAGCCTCTCAACTTCACAAGCTTTCTCACCAATTTACTGAGTTTCTATGGTACAAACATTTGAGAGAAAGAAGAGAACAGAGTATGAAGGTTATGCATTCTAGTATGGGATTTAAACCATGTCTGCAATGAACAACAAGTACAAAGTGATAAGCATTCCCTGGGAAACTTTTAAATTCTATTTTGGGCTTGGCAGTCAGAGATACTAAGACTTCTTCTATGTAGATATTCTTTGGGGATCAACTGTTTTGATGTATTTTGATGAATTTTCTCTTATGTGGTTATAGCTTGATATTTATAAATTTCACTTTTTTGAGCAAATGACAATGACCTTACCAAGTGGTCTTGGTCAAGAATTAAAATGGTGTCCAAAATTTCCCTAGTTATTTTTTACTTAAGAGATTCTGGACATCAGCAATTTTAAGTACCTAAGCTAAATGAAAAGCACAAAGTGATGTGGGTTTACAGGGTAGGATGTGAAGGAGATGAGCTTAGTGACAAAACAAATGTGATAGCAAGTAAGAGCACAGAAATAAAGCCTTGAACACACAATCTATGCAATTAGTACTCTATGAACTCAAATGTTCAAGCTTGTGGTTATGAAATTTATCCTAGTAAAATATAAATGAGACAGAAAAAATGGTACATGCCATAAAGACCTCAATCCCGAGAATGCCAGCGTTTATTTAGGAGACTGACAGCAAACCCCAGATCATACTTTGTCATGCCTTGACATTTACATCAGCAGTGCACCCTAGGGGCTTGGGATACATCTCAGCAGCACAGCACTTGCCTAGTATGCATGAGGCCTTGGGTTCAATCCCCAGCACCGAAGTAGAAAAACCTAGCACTTACTCATATTAATTTATTTGTATCAATTTCTAAAGTTTCAAGTTTGAACCAATAATGAAGACTAAATTATAAAAAGTGAAAATTTAGTGATTTTAAATTTTAATAATTTATTCATAATCTTCCTTCTGCTTAACAAAAGGATAAAAAATATCATCAAGCAAAAGTTCAGTCAGGTCCTTTGGATTCTGAGGTACAAGGCATATGTGTGAGACCTGGATGGGCTGCCACAGAGAGTCTCATGGTTGTCAGTCCTCCACATTGCTGTTACTAGTCACGTGGAAAGGTTAGCATATCTTTTCCTTTTTTCCAGTTATTATTTAACATGAGGTCATCATCAACATCACTGTGTATAGAGGTCAGAGGACAACCTTGGGTGTCCTTCCTCAGGCGCTACTCACCTTTTTGTAAGACAGGGTCTCTTACTGGCTTGGAACTCATCAAGTAGGTTAAGCTATATGTCCAGCAAGCCCAGGGGCCTGCCTGTCTCTATCTCCTCAGCACTGGGAACAACATCACTATTCTTGATTCATTTGACCCCTAGCCTGAAAACACATTGACACGCTAAAGTGGACAAGGATGATTCTTATTGGCAGTGATTTAAATAGTAAAACAACAAAACCTTTACCAAAGGACACAACTAAAAAAATTCTCGGGCTAGTGACATGGTTCAGTGAATAAATGTGCCTGTCAGAAAGCCTGAAGACCAATTCTTAGAACCCACATGATACAAGGAGAGAACCAACTCCTACAAGTTGTCCTTTGATCAACACATGTGTGTTCACACATACATAAATAACTTTTTTTAAAAAACAAAAATTCTGTTAAGAAAAAATTAACGATGTTTCAATACTTCTTATATAATGAAAAACTTTATTTACCAGAATTTAGTAGCTATACACATAAAAATACAAATTACTTAAAAGAGAACTTCAATATCATGTAAGGAAAACTGTCAAAAAATTGTAGCAATTCTTTACTTATTTTGCTGAGGAAAATGTTTATATTAAATCTAGTAAGAAGCAACAGGGGAAAAGAATATAAGAACCCCGAGACACCGCAAATGCTTATGAACCCTCATCTTTTAAAGCTTCTCTCTCTAAAAGAAGTCAAGGAAAGACCCAGAGAGAAGAAAGGGGCTCATAGGTAATACTGGAAACCCAGATTCACACCAAAAAAAACAAAACAAAACAAAACAAAAAAAAACTGTGAGAGCCAATCTGTTCCCAATCTATCACAATGCAGTTTTTCCTCAAGGTCATATGGAGTATATGCAAGGATGCTGCCAACATTCATGAGGATATTGTACTTTTAAATACTTTCCTCTTCATATTTGACTAAAAAAATTTCACGGGGAAATAGAGGCTCTAAGAACTATCAATTTAAGTTAAACTTTGTAAGAATGGCATGCTGAGTATTTGCTGATTACCTACTACCACATCCTAAGTCCCCAAACAACTTACTCTTCGGATCTTCTTCCGTTTTTTAGAACGTGGTCTTGTCTCTATCCTCTGGACACTGCATCGCACAAGTAACAGCAGGTCTTGCAGGCTGAACAATTTGTAGACAAAATTTCCTTCCTGGGGAGCTAGATATTCTGATATATCTTCGACATAGTCTTGAAGTTCATATGGCAACCCTTTAAAAACATTTCTCATTACTATTTAAAAATGGTACCCCTTTATCCATTATAATCAGGAATACAACAATTCAATGAACTTTCCTAAAAGGTCAGTTTTAACTTTCTCCTCCTCGTTGATGCCTGCACTACTATCATTTTTGTTTACTTACTGGAATCGTAGCACAGAGCAGAAATCAAAGCTTTAAAGTTCTTTTTAACTATTACCTTCATCAACTCCAGGCAAAGCATAAATCAATGAGATAATGTATCGTGTGAGAAGGAAAATGAATTTAAAAGGCAATACTATTCCCCAAGCTGAGAAAACCAAGGAAATTTTTCAGTCAGTTGATGAAATTACAGCACACAAAGCTGTATCCCACTACAGAGGACAAGAAAGCTTTCTACTAGCCAACGTTTACAGTCCTTGTCTATGTACTTCCTCTTCATTGGTTTGGGGGACCACATCAGCTGTAGCTTAATAGGCATCCCGCATGCTGGATAAACACAGGTTATAAAACCAGAAAAACTAGGTACGTCTATGAAGAAGACATGGTGGAAACTGAAACAGTGATCAAGTTGAAAAGTGAAATGCTAATGAGCAGGTAAAAATCACAAAATGATTAGTTATAAGAGAATGTGAAAGGACTATAAAGAGCTAAGGAAAAGGAACAGATAAAACTATGTTCTTCAGAAATATTTACTCACGCCCTTTAGGCTTCTGAAATGCAGAAGGCCAACTAGATTTTGGCCAGCTAGAGGCATCCGAAGCAGCAGCGGGTTGCTCAGACACAGGTGGCTGTTTAGACTCTTCTAAACTCATCAAGGGCAACTCAGGTACTTTCCTGGAAACTGGCTTTAAGAGCTCATCCTGCATTTTTAAAATTTCTCCAACTGGATCAAATTTTTTGTAGACTCTTTTGATAGGTTTCTTTAAAACACATGACTCTTCGGGGCCAGTCGTAGAGGTCTGATTTTCCAAGGACGCCTGCCTTGAAGAATTTGGACTTGCTGGTCTAGAACCCACATCAGCTATCTTTCTGTCACTATTACTTTTACTTTCTGTATCAATGACTAAACAGTCCTCATCTGTGTCACTACCACAAGGAATCCCTTTTCCAGTTTTAGCTGTTTCTGATGTAGTAGCGGTTTTGTTTGCACTGTCTGTGTTTCCCTGAACACTCGGTCTTTCATCATTGGTACATACCACACCTACATCACTTTTGCTAGAGTTTCCAATTTCCTTAGAACTTTCTAACTGTAATGCATCAGGTGTTTTTTGTACTTCATTATTTTGCATCAAAGATTTTGTGTTGGAACTGGGCACCTCTTCACCATGTTGTTCAAGTCCTTGATCGTCTTTATTTTTGTACCCTTCAGGGCCATTTTCCACACCAGAAAATAGTTGTTTCTCCTTCTGCAATTGTTTCATCAGAATTTGACATAAACTTCTAGAATCATCAGTAATATTTGGTGTAGCTCGTGCCACAGGCACAGCTGGTGCTATAGGCATAGCTGCTGCTTTGGGGGCTGCTGGGGCATCTGTCACGATGGATGCTGGGGAAGCACTAGCTGGACTTGGTGACCTGGATGGACTGGTGGTAGTTACGCCAAAGGTTTCAAGTTCTGTGACATCATCATCAAAATCCAGATCCAAATTTTCAAGAGTCTCAATTTTTCGACACTCACTTGCTTCATTGGATTTCTTGGAGGAAAAATATATTGGCAAGTTATTAGGAAAATATTCAGGCCGTAGTTATTTCTCTCTCAATGTCTTATCATTCACATACATAGTTCCCATCTTAAAAGTAGAAAGATGTGGCAGGGGAGATGGTTCAGTTGGCTAAAGAATTACTATACAAGCAGGAGAACCTGAGTTCAGCTCTCCAGCACCCATGTAAAAGCTGAGATGGTGGCATGTACCTGAAACTCCAGTGTCATGGGGGAGGAAGTAAGTAGGGCAGAGGAAGAGCCCAAGGACTTGCTCACCAGCTGGCTAGTCTAGGTGAAGCAGCTAGCCCCAGGTTCAGTGGGAGACTGTGCCTCAAAAAATAAGGTGGAGAGTGACAAAGGAAGATACTGGAGTTGACCTCTGGCTTCCACATGTGTATATATACCCCCACATATACTTACACACACACACACACACACACACACAGTAGAAAGAAAAGTCTAATGGCTCCTAACAGTGTACTACAACTTACTAGCAAGTATTTAATTTTACAATCCCCTTGAAATGTTCATAAATCTAGATCTGTCAGGTTGTAACAGCACAGGAAACTGAATTGTGAAATACCATACCAAGAGAACTTCCATAATGAGAAAACAAAGACCATTCAGAAGAAAGATCAAACAGAAAGAGACATTTGTGCGTGCCCACTTCATATGCTCTGGGAAAGACCCCTGGACCTAACTGACCAGGAAAAAAAGTCTTTTGCTGCTATGAAGCGAGTGTTTCCCTAATATTAATTGGTGGCATTCTTTGTATATCCACTGAGGGTAACAATGCTGAGTAATAGACAACAGAGCAGAAATGGACAGGAAGTGCTTTTTGTTATATTCTGGGACAAGAAATCACTGAGGTTGCAATTTTGATAAGAGAAGAATCAGACACAGCTTTAATTTATTCTAGAGTAAACCATCCCTTATTTAAGTACCAGCAGATCTCTCCTTCAACTGGCAGAACACCTTATTTTATTCATTTATTTACTTATTTAAAAACTTTTGAGCTCTTGGGGTAAGTATATAGCGCAGCTCTCCGCACCGGGACTCCCTAAGCCACATTCCCCCTTCCATCCCCCCCCTCTCCGTTCTATACTCCTAGTTTGGGCCCTGCGCCATTCCTACTCTTGGGGCCCCAAACACCTGGGGAACCAATACTGCTTCCTGTGCCTTTTCAAACAGACCAACTTAGTGCCTTTCTTGGGCACCAGGAGCACCGCTTCTGGACCTGGCCCCGCCCTCACCTCTCTCTGCTTCCCTGGACCTGCACCACTGGCGAACTTTCCTAGCCTGCTCTCCTACCCTCAGGCCTCTCTTGGGGTAAGTCTATTGCGGAGCCCTCTACACCTTGACTCCCCTGGCCTCATTCACCCTTCCATCTCCCCCGCTGTTCTCTACTCCTAGTTTGGGCCCTGCACCATTCCTAGGCTTGAGTCCCCAGAAAACTGGGGAACCAATACTGCTTCCTGATCTTTTTCACCCAGACCAACTTAGTGCCTTCCTTAGGCCCCAGGAGCACGGGTTCTGGACCTGGCCCCGCCCTCACCTCCCTCTACTTCCCTGGTCCTGTAACACCCGCCAGCCTCTTTCTGGGGATGACAGCCTCTTTCTGGGGCTCCGAGGCTTACCTTTCCTCTCCCTGAT